TAAAAAGCAAACAAAGTTAATAAATACCACTAATTACAACAATACAAAAATATAAGAATCAGTTGAAATATTTCTAGTTTTTCCTCCAGAAGTTGCTTCAGGTGGATCTTTTGTTGCCGTTCAGGGATGAAATCACAAACCTGATTTGATGAAGCTGGTTGATGTGATCCAACATCCTCTGAACATCATTTTCAGGTAAATCCACGCCGAGGTTCACCTGAGCTTCACCCATCAGCTGCAAGGAAACGTCACTGAAGCAGCTGTTAAAGACACAGCGACACGTTTTTACAGGAAGTCGTAGGTATATAATGCCTCAAAGACTTGTTAGTTCAGGGGCTGAATCTAAATACACACAGGAGACTTTATTTACTAAAGGTGGCCTATTATATTTCCTTGAAGTTAGGATCGATCTATGGCCTATACAAAACCTGTTCATTAAATTTTTTGCACAAACTCATTCTTAAATAGTGAGAATTTATTCTGCTCAGTTCAGAATGAGATGTTTTAGGGCCTCCATGTCAGCAGACGCACAATTACATAACTGTGCATCTTTGAAAAACATTAGTGGAGCCTCCTGCACAACCAACAGGAAGCCAGCAAGTGATTTCTTGATGGTAAAACAACAAAACACTTGTCTTTGTGCATGAAAGAAAGCGCAACAAAATTAAAAAATAGCAACTTTCAAAGGCAGGTCAAATAATTGAATAAAATAATAAATAAGTATATCTCAATGGATATAAAAATATGGATGTTACATATGGATGCAAAGGATAAATAAATAAATAAATAAATAAATAAATAAATAAATAAATAAATAAAATTGTGCAAAATGTGAAGTTTTCATAATAGTTTTCATAATATTTCAGGATGAAATAATGTTTTATAAGTGATGCTATTTGTGTCGGTTAGTGTTGAATTAAACGCGTGGAGGATTCTGGTTGAGTTGCATAAACACACTGCATGACCTTAACTTGTGAGTTCACCTTTTCTCCATCTTGTCACAGATTTTCTTGGCCGTCTGGATGTATCGGTCCAGCTGGTGAGCCATCACATCCACGTTCTGCAGTTTAGGCAGGAAGAAGACGCTGGCGTCTCTCTTAAACACCAGGAGCAGCGGGCAGATGAGACGCGCGGCGGTGACGACCACCTGGACGAGGTCGGCGCCGACGTCTCCAGGCAGGTGAAGCGTCTGGTTCTCAGCGAAGACGTGCAGCGAAGTGACCGCCAGCTTCTCCACCGCGTCCAGGAAGCAGGCGAGCTTCTGCAGCCCGTCCAGCGTGTCGCTCAGCACCGCCGCCAGCTCGCCCTGCAGCTCCGCCAGCCGGCTGTCCGCCGTCAGACCGCTCACCTTGTTCTTCATGTACTCCACAAACGCCTTCCCTTTCTGCTCTGACTGAGTGACGTGGCTGATGTTCAGGTTCACCTTGTCCGCTCTGTCTTTGATGTCCAGCATCATGTCCAACTCGGTTTCCCTCCACAGCATCCATTTGGAGAACATGGAACAGAATTCGCTGGCCAGCTGCATGCAGGCCAGCGTTTCTGAGACGTAGCGGCTCAGAGCCTCCGCCAGCTCCTTCCTGTGGAGCAAAGCTAAAGTTATATGTCAAAATTAACAGCAGAGAGATTAACAACAGGTTCAAACAACAAATATGACATTTTTACAACGGCACATAAAGCAGATAGAGAAAAAGCAGTGCAAAAACATTTTGAGTTCTCAGATATTTTCCAGTAACAAACAAAGAAATTTCTGCATTTTAAAAGTCAAAAATATGATTTAAAAAACCTTGGAAGTTTCTGAGATTCAAGAGTCAAACATTTTTTACTTTTGAAATTCAGAAATTTTTTGCTAGGAATTTTCGGAGGTTTTTTTCTAGCAAATTCTTAATTTTTCCGGCTGAGAATTTTCAAGGTTTTTTTTTTTTTAATTGTTAGATTATAACATTTTGGGGCAGAAATTTAGAACTTTTTTTCCATCTACAACAGCCTTCTCACATGGGTGACCATACATGAAAATATTGCAAAATTCCTAGCAAGCATTTCTAAATTAGAACCACTGGGGGAAAAATCTCTAAAAGTAATTCTAGAGGGACTGATTAGTGTGAAAATATGTTCAATATCATTTCATTTTATGAAAACTGAATGAGTCTGTGGTTCTCAGTTTTTACAGTTTCTTATGGGTTTTATCATTACATTCTGGCTCTAACGGCTAGAGACCATTAATCAGAATTAAAATGAGTTTGACACCCTGACATAAAGTATTATTTAGTTATTTTTCATTCCACACATAAATTTGCAATAAAATGTGTTAACTACAACATTTATTATTTTAGTATTTTTAGTAATTTCTCTCTTTACGAAGCTGTAAAGAGAGAAAATACAAAGACACAAGAACAGAGGCTCCTAAAGCTTCAGATCATCCAAAGACTCCAAGCATCTAAAACTGGAAGACGGTTCTGTCAAGTGACATTTTTTGAATATCTAAAGATTTCTGTCATCGCTCCAGTGACTTTGGCTGTGATGAAGCTCCACTATCTGTAGCCATTACCAAACCAAAACATCCTCAGACGAAGCTGCTTAGACATTATTCTGGTCAAGATTATCTGGATAAGTTTAACTCTGCATCACTGATGACGTGGTGAAAAGAATAAAGTCAAAGTAAATGATGTTACATGTAAACGACACATCACCACCATCTTTTCACTTCTTCGTCTTATAAAAGCCTTTTTTCTACCAACACCGTCTGAAAACTGGTTATGTTTAAAACATGAGTGGCACTTTAAACATGCGAAGCTTCTAGAGCAGCGTTTCCCAACGCTGGTCCTCAAGGCTCACTGACCTGCATGTTTTAGATGTTCCCCTGCTTCAGCACACATGATTTCAATTGATGGCTGATTAACAGGGTTTTGCTGAATTGCAGTCATCTGAATGGGGTGTGTTGAAGCAGGGAAACATCTAAAACATGCAGGTCAGTGAGCCTTGAGGACCAGGGTTGGGAAACACTGTTCTAGAGTTTCAACAAGATGCTTATCTTTTATTCTTTTACTCCAACTTTTCATTACATTCCTTTATTTTACCGCTGTCATGTAGTTTTCATATTTTCACCATTTAAAGCTTTATGAATGTCGTTTCTTGTTGCTGAAATATAAACTTGTCTTTATTTGCATTAGTCGCACTCAGTTCCAGGAACTGACCACTAGAGGTCCCCAGATCTCACCGAACTGAGCTCCCAAATTAATATAAAATTAAAACTTCAGCATTCATACTTTAATTTATCAGACTGTTAATACAGACATGTGGAGCTTTTTTCCCTATATGAAGAGTTTAAAATGTATTTTAAAGGATTTTTAAAGCCTTTAAATACGCGATAAGAGCAGAGTACAGGACGAGTTGTGTAAAAATAAAAAAGTTATTACTTGTTTGTGAAGATACGACATTTTATTCTCTGGGTTCCGTTTGTCTGTGCGCTTCTCTTACCTTGCTGCAGACATCTTTCTTCCTCTCTCTTCACTTCCTGTAGGTTTTGTTTTATTCCTGCATGAATAAAACTAAAATCTCCGAGCGGACAGTAGATTTTATGCGGAGTTGTGGACTGAACCTGGTAAACTGAGCCTCGGTGAGAAAGTTTCTGGTTTGACCTGCATATCTGAGCTCGGTTTCGATTTTCGTTCCTCCACATCAGCAGGTTGAACCACACCCTCCCGCGTTAACCCGTTCAGCCCCGCAGTCAGATGATCCGCGTCTGTTTTCCTGCTGAAGACGAAAACAAAGCAACTTTTCAGTCCCACACAAACCAGCGAATCTCCAACAGCCAATCACAGAAAAGGGTTCCTCCCGTTCGACATTTCAGTAGATTCTTTGTTCCGTTCAGACAAACCGGTTTATTGTTAAGCTTTTATAGCTTCCTGGGTACGCCCCATTTGTCAGCCGGCGCGCGGAGCGGCGCTAAGCGGAGACTACAGGAGATTTTATTCAATTTTATGTTTTCTTGAATTACTATCAAGCTATCATGAAATTTAAACGTCGAGTTGCTCTGACAGTTCTATGTTTGACATTATCAGGCAAACCCCGTCCACATTTTCAGCCTCATTTCTTTGCCAGGTCATCCGCCGGCTGACAGTTAACGGGCATACATCATAATTTTCTCACCTTTTCAGCTGAGAAAAAAAAAAAAAAAATATATATATATATATATATATATATTATATATATATATATATATATATATATATATTATATATATATATAAGCTTAAAATAAAAACAGTAGACAAAATTTGATTAAAAAGATTTTATTTATGTATCTGCTGGAAGGAAGGAAGGAAGGAAGGAAGGAAGGAAGGAAGGACAGAATTCTGATCAGTGCGTCTATGTTTCAAATATTGATTTTTTTTCTTTTATGTGAATTTATTTTTAAAAATAGTCTCCGATTTATTTATACAAATATGAATTTGATCACAACCAATTAAAAAAAAGACACTAAGCATAGTTAAGATTATTTTTTCCTTACAGATTATTATTGGCTGCAGTTATGAAACAGTTTGTTGTAAATGAGACAGAACATTCTGTTCCAGCACCATTAGGCGGATTTACTGTTTTCACTTAAATATTTTAGTTAAAATATAAGTTATGTAAAGTATTTTAGCATTAATAGGACTACTTTGATATTTATTTGTTGATATATTTTGTGTAACGTCAGAGGAAAATGTGATTTTTAAGGACAAGAGGACATTCGCTGTTTTTATTTGTTGTAGTTATAATGCTTGGCCAGCAGAGGGAGACAGAGTCCACAGAGGGGGCGCTGCGGAGAGCTGTCCTTTCAGCACCACTCCGTTTAAAACAGCGACAACTGCTTAAATATCCGCAATTCAAAGATACGAATGTACATTTTATCATGAGATCAAACATTTAATGAATGACTAAAATTAAAATCTTTACATTTTTGTTCATATTTGTGGTTTTATCAGTTATTTGGCAGGAAATTAGTGAAGTTGGATGTGCTTCAGAGAGCACGCTGCAACAATTGGATTCAGAAATGCGTAAATCTCACCCACGAATTCACTATTCACCAAAAAAGTGAAACGGAAGAAGAGGAGAAAATCCCCCCAGCAGATGTTTTTATTATTATTTTTATTTCTTGTGCGTTTCCGGACGAGCTGCAGAGCGGCTTCCGCAAACTGCTCTCACTGAGCGCAGAGAAGCCGAAGTGAGCGTGTGAACGCACACATCGTGACAACACCAGCACCGTCTCCCTCTCCTGATTGTGTAATATAGATTTTTTTTCTCTTCCTTCCTCCTCTCTTCCTGCAAAAGCGACCAAACCCGCATCCATCCGTGAGCGCAAAGGAAGAGGAGAGGAAGAAGAGGAGGAGGAACGAGAGGAAGAGGAGGGGGAGCATTGCAACGTTCATCCGAGCTCCTTTTTTCTTTTTTCTTCTTCTTCTTCCCAATACATGGCGCAAGGGCTACTACACAAGCGGGACTGTCCTGGGTGTGATCCCGCCGCGGTGAATTTGGATACGGGAGCAGCGGCGGCTTCATCAGCAGCAGCAGCAGCAGCATCTTCCTCCTCCTCCTCCTCCATCGGCGCCCACTCTGACTCCCCGTCCTCCTGGCTCTTCTGTCGGCTTTATGTCGAGTGATGGTCGGCTTGCCTTGCCGGATGCGCCCCGCTCTCTCCGGATCGTCGACGGCCGAGCCTCCTCTGACCGCAGACCCCCATTTTCGGCGGAAACCTGCCCAGAGCTCTAAGGCTCCATATGGAAACTGGAGACCAAAATTTTAGAAAAAAGGAAAATCTGAGCGGTTAATTATTATTTATTTATTTATAATTTTTTTATTATTTCCCCCCTCCCTCCCTCCATTCTTATTATTTCTGGTATTTTCTGTTTTCCTGGCCTGCCGATGAATTAATTCATCATTGATTTCCTCATTTCCACCGTGTTGATTTGAGAGATTTTTCCTGGGAAGAGGACTTGAATTCTTTACTCTCTTCTGTTAAAACGAGAGAAATGCCTTCCGTCATTCATTTATGACCCTTAACCGACTAACAAACCCTCTAGAATATAATAATTATTAGTAATATTAGCTAACAGTGAAGTGATATTAAACTGTAAGCTGATCTCATGTAGGTCCAGCTCCAGCCTTTGGGTTTGTTTTGAGCCTCCTCAGGCTTTAACTCATCTCTGTAACTCCGTGTTTTTATCCACATTTGCAGCTTTTCTCGCTGCAAGTGGGGGCTACCTCTGCAGCTACAGGCCGTGTCATTTTCCGCTTCCTATTGGAGGAAAAAGTGAAACTCACCGCAGAGGAAGAGACATTCCTGCCTCTTCCTCTCCATAAACTCTAAATTTGGTCGTTTATTTTTTTCTCTTTTGGAGGTCCTCACCCAACGCAACCATAAGGTTCCTACCGCATCCTCCTCCTCCTTCCTCCCTCTCCTTCCGCTCGAGTCTAGCCCGTTTTTTCGGCTTGGTTTGGTCCCGCAAATTTTCAAATATTTACTTCCTGTACATCAAGAGGAAAGGGGGTCCCCCTTTCATGGAATGCGGAAACATGGGTCTGTTCGACCGCGGAGTCCAGATGCTGCTGACCACGGTGGGCGCCTTCGCGGCCTTCAGCCTCATGACCATCGCGGTCGGCACGGACTACTGGCTGTACTCCCGCGGCGTCTGCAGGACCAAGTCGATGAGCGAGAACGAGACGAGCAAGAAGAACGAGGAGGTGATGACCCACTCGGGCCTGTGGAGGACCTGCTGCCTGGAAGGTAGGAAGTCAGAGGCTCTCAAACTTTTCCGCTTCTGGAGCTTCCGGGATGTTCGCGCAACTGGTAGTTTAACTTCTGCAACGTCTCAGTCGATGCAGAAACAAACACCGCGAAATGCAAAGTCTGAGCAAATGTCAGCTGATTTGGTTTTCTGTGTAGTTGATGGTTGATCTGGGGGATTTCAGACTTGGTGTTGTTTGTGTTCTTGATGGGTTTTCTAGACACATGCTGGCGTTTTATAGCACAATCAACTAACTACACTGCAAAACACCAAATATTACCAATTATTTTTGTCTAGTTTCTAGAGCAAATATCTTAGTTCACATGAAATACGACAATATTAACTTACAAGTAACTTTTCAGCAAAATATAAGAGCTTGTTGTAAACCAGTAACTCCTTAATCTTGATTTTAAAAGTAGTTCACCGGCAGATTGTTTCTCTTGGGGAAAATGTCTTCTGAGAGAAATAATCTGAAAGTGGAGCTAAATATTAAGATTAAAGTGTTATTGATTTAAAACAAGCTGCTTTATCTTGTGAAAAGTTACTTGTATGTTAGTTTAGTCTTATTATAAGTGTAATAGAAACTAGATAAAAGTGTGCAGCTCTGTCACCTTATTTCTGATTTGCTCTTTTTTGTGCTTTTTTGGTTTTCAAACTTGCCTTTGTTTGTATTTATGAATGTATGACATGTTTTCCAGACACATAGTGACATTTTATAGCACAATCAACTAACTACACTGCAAAAACACCAAATATTACCAAGTATTTTTGTCTAGTTTCTGGAGTAAATAACTTAGTTCACTTGAAACAAGACAAAACTAACTTAGAAGGAACATTTCAGCAAGATAAAGAAGTTTCCTTTAAGTAAATAATTCCTTAATATCGATGAAAAAGTTCCAGTTCCAGAGACTGAATATTTCACTTATGACAAAACTTTTTTCCATGTTATGATTGAAATAATCTGCCATTTAATCAATAACTTTTTCATCAATATTAAGTATTTATCAACTTAAAACAAACTCTTATATCTTGTTGAAAAGTTGCTTGTAAGTTAGTTTTATCTTGTTTCAAGTGAACTAAGATATTTGATCTGGATACTGGACCAAAAAACCAGCTAAGATGTTTTTGCAGTGAAGATGCAAAGTTTGTTCTGTTGTGAAATATAAATATTGATCATAACAAGCAGCAGGTTAAGGAGGATGTTGGTGTAAAATAAATAGCACAAATCTTAGTTTTTTGTCTTTAAATGAAACAATCCAGAAAAGAAAAAAACTTAATTTTGAGGAATCAGAGGATTGTTTATCTGCAAGAAGAAAGAAAAACTTTTTGTGTTTCTTGTTCTTTAATCTTTAACATGAACTATCAGCCTGGACGTCAGCTTCCTGTGCAGCTCGATTTAAATCTCACCTCCTGCTCAGTCTGGGCTTTCTCCCATTCACTGGGATTCCCTCCGATAGATTTTCTTCAATCAGCGATCAGAAGAAGTTATGAACGATAATTTTAATTTTTACGCAATGTTTTTATTTGTAGTTTTAGAAACAAGTGAATCTGTTCAGTCCGAGTTGAAGCCACAGAAATAAAACTTTAACATAACAGCTGTGTGCTTAAATATTATTCTATCAGTCAAATCAAATCAGGTTTTATTTGCCAAATTACATCAATATGAAACAATGTTAGATGTAATACTTTACCAGTTTGCTAAATGGTAGTTTTAAATCCTGCAACAAAACGGCCCTTTAAGGATTCGACCCGAAATGAAAATGAGTTTAAACTTTACAATCCAAAGAGTCAATTTTCCCCTCAGTTCAGTGAAATAAAGCTTTAGAGAAGAGATAAATAAACAATAAAACTTTGTAAAAATAGGGAAGTTGACATTTGTGGGGAGGGGAATCCACATAGTTTTAAACTTAATAAATCAAACGTGGAAATTCAATGCAATTTTTCAATGACAAAAGAGGGAAAACTATATTTTAAACGTTTGTTTTATTTCATAATGACACAGAAGAATTAGGAGCTGATCGGAAGAGACATAAATATAATCTTAAAGATTTGGTTCAAAATGAAAATAAGTTTCTGATTTAAACATTTATTTATGTTAACAAAGTTTCATCTAAGAGGAAAAACAACTCAGACTCAGAGAAACATGAAACAATGAAAACTTTATAAACTGAGCATCAAATCTAACAAAAAAAAAAAAGTCAAACATGCAACTAAACAGAAATATTTCTGGATCAACGAAGCAAAACTTTGCATTTAAGAAGTTAATTTTCTGTGAGTAAAAATATAATAGTTTAAAGTTTTCTGTAGGTTGTCGAAAGAAATAATATTAAGTGTTTAAATCCATTTTTAATTTACAAAACTCAAGTTGTAAAAATCCTGACTAGTAGATTCATTTCAGATTTTGATTTCAGCAGTGAAATAATTCAGTGTTGGATTATTAAAGCAATCTGAAACAGTGAATTTAGTCAGATTAAATAATGAAATATGGATTAATTTCCTGATTTATTGTCCAATATTCACTATAATTTTACTCTAATGAAGGGAAGCTGCAGGTGAAGCTGCTGTGACTCAGGATGGTCATATTTATTCCAAAAACATCAAATATTACCAAGTACTTCTGGTTTCTGCAGCAAATATCTTAGTATGTTTTAAATAAAACAAACCAAACTTACATGCAACTTTTCAGCAAAATGTAGCAGCTTGTTTCAAGTCAATAATTGATTAATATTGAAGAAAAAGTTTTAGTTTCACTAAAAGATTAACTTATAACAAGACATTTTTCACATGTTATAAGTGAAATAATCTAGAAAGAATCTGGAACTAGTAGTTTTCATCAATATTAAGGAATTATTCATCCAAAACAAGCTCCGGTATCTTGATTAAAAGTTACTTATAAGTTTGTTTTGTCTTATTTTCATATATTGAGATATTTGCTGTAGAAACTGGACAGAAATACTTGGTAGGATTTTGTGTTTTTGCGTCTGGAGCTAAACGTCGTGTTGCTGTAGAGGTGCAGCGATGCTCTGTTGGGCGTTTGGAGCTGACCTGCCTGACAGCCATGATGACAGCAGCAGTAGCTGTCACGTGACCTCTGACCTGTCTCCAGCCTCGCCTCCTGAGCTCAGGTTTCCAGACGATCTCCAGGGTCGCCCTGTCAGACGGAGGAGACGCGTTTCCTGTCATGACTCTGGAGGGAGGAGACAAACTTAACCTTGTGAGGCTGCAGAGTTTCAGGTCTGCAGGAAAACGGTTTCTCAGTTTGAGCTGAAACGATTAATTGCAATTAATCAATAACTGAAATAATCATCAACTAATTTAGTAATCGATGAAAAGTTAACTGGATTATACAAACTTAAAAAAGGTTGTTTGCTGAAAGAATAGCAGAAGCTGTGTTTCCTGTAAGCATAAAATTACGCGAATTGGAATTACAAAAATAAATTTGCTTAATGAAAACACAAAAGCTTGAAGAACACTAAAATATTTCAATAAAATGTTTTTGGATTAGGTTTAGTTTGTTTTTCAGCCATATCATAATTGTATTTTACACAACTGCAATAGAAACAGTTATTTTCACATCACAGGATTCACATGATCAACAACAGGATGTTACTACTGTCAGAGGCGCCAAAGAAGACGTAGATAGGAAGTGGTAGGAGGATGACACTGCGTGAACAAACGTATTTATGTGTGACTTTAATTGCATTTCTTATTCAGTGAAAATTGTGAAATTGTGTATTTTCAACCTTAGCAGAATATCTGCAATGTTTTGCGCACGTTTTTAATTGAAACACAACTAATGTCACATGTATACATTTTGCATTTAAGGCAAAAAAATCATTGTTTACCCAAAACTCCTCAAGTGTCAGTTTCAGTTTCACCTGGTTCAAATTCTTTAAATAAAACTATTTTTCTATTAACCACCTTTTGCATTCAATTATTAATCAGTTAATCCAAAATACAATCAATAAATTGCACACACTGTGTATTAAATCAAGCAGAAACGGCTGAGCTTAGTATTCTTAGAAGTTTTTTTAAGCTGCAGGTGCATTCTTTTCTATAAATGATAAAGTTTTCACTAAAGGGGTGTTTATGTCTTTATTTATTCATCTTTAAACATATTTCTAAAATGTCTTAAATGGAAATTTGAGATATGCTAATTTTTTATCTGATTATTAATTGTGAGTCTTCAGTTGCAGTCCTGCTATTGTTTTTGTTTAAATTCATTTATTCTCCACCACAAGCTGCTGTGATGATGCAACATTATGGATTTTTCTGCACAGGATTAAACATTATGGAGCTTAATGAGAGTTGTCAGCTGACGTTTAAGCTTTGCAAACCTGGGTTATAAATTCCAATTGATCGTGTTGCTGTGGGTTGTAGTCCAAATCTGCTGTTTAAAAAAACAAACAGCACTATGCTCTCAAGTTACCCATTGAGGTTCTGTTCTGGTCTGACTGGTACCGGTTAGCTAAAAGAGTCAAAGCTAACAAGACGCACTAATCAGGGTTTCACCAGTTTCTAATTTACTTTGAGGTCTAATTTTATTTCTAAGGATTATAGCAGGTAAATTCAACAAACAATTATCCTAAAAGGAAGAAAACCATGTTGCAGGTTGTTTGATTAACGTTGTAGTTTTGAATCCAACATGAAGAGATTAGAGCATTCTGACTTTCATCATGATTGGAGCAGCAACACAACTCTAAATACCAACACACTTCATTTTTGGTCTAGTTTACAGCGCAAAAAATTGTACTTGAATTAAGACAAAACTAGCTTAGCAGCGTCTCTTCAGCAACATATAGAAGCTTGTTGTAAGTTAATAATTCCCTAACATTGATGAAAAAGTGCCAGCAATAAGTGAAACAATCTGCCAGTGGAACTAGAACTTGATTAAATATTCTGTTACGTTTATATTTCAAAACAGAACCGCATGAAACGCATTTTAAATCTCATACTGGACTCTGGACCGGTTCGTTTCTGTATCACCGGTCTTCGCTAA